TCTTTTCATCTGGATGCAAATAAATTTCCTACCAGAGTGTTTCTGACGCCTCACATCTGTCTCTGGTGGAATATATAAAGAGGTATTTAGACAATGATGTTGAGCAGATATAGTCAGCAGATTTTCAAGAGATCTATTGAAGTTTTCTCAAGTTCTTGTTAAACTGAGGTTTGTTTCTTGTTTTACTTTGACTGAAGTTTCATAATGAATAGATATAACATGATTTGAAACCAACTGTTAAGATCTATAAGTTCATGTAGTTTGAAGGAGAAATAAAAGTTTTGGTCAGTGGTAGTTGGCAGCCATTTTTGGTATAGTTTCACTAGTGATACCTGTGAGTTAACCCATTGGAATTTGTACTACGTTGTATTACATTGTATTACATGTACATTGTCTTACATTGTACTACATTGTATTACATTGTATTACATTGCATTACATTGTCTTACATTGTATTACATTGTATTACATTGTATTACATTGTCTTACATTGTATTACATTGTATTACATTGTATTACATTGTATTTATTCCCTGATGAATCCATACAGTGCTGATCAGTACATGAAGTAACAGGCAGGGCAGGTTTGGACAGTACTGAGCCCTAAGGCAATAACTTGAAGTGAAAAACCTATTCAAATTTTTATATGGGTTTAATATTTGTATTTTGAAAATCAATCAATGATGGGAAACATTTCCTTTTAGTGCACAGCATGCATGGCAACCGATGGCCTTTAAAGCCAAATATGATGGATCACATAGTAACATGCAGCTGCCAATGAAATGTCTTTGTCTGAACATTTCCACAGTTTGGAAATTGAATTAGCTAAAGAATACATTCAAAACAAAGTCTGCCATATGACTGTGCCCTTGGAGTAAACTTTTTGCCAAAAAAAAAGGTCTTCAAGATTTTTCCCCTGCAGCGAATTCGTAGATATTCATTTCATCTGGAAATGTCCAAACGTTTTAAATACTTAATTTGATACGCATCTGCTCAATATCAGAAAAAGCTGGGGAAAATAGCCATAAAACGATTACAAACTTTTATCTTGGTCTCCGAGGTCTGATAAAATTAGTCAATTTGATACCCGCAAAAATCCCTTGGGCAATAAATGGACTGGCACCTTTCAACTGAAAAACAATCCAGTGAATAATAACTTGAAAATGCCTGTGAAAGAAAGAAATTCAAAAAGAGACAGCTATTTTGAGGCAAATACTAGACATTTTAATGGTCTTCTAAAAAAAATAAAATGAGTATCCAGTGAGCTGTCATTTGAAGTGCCCAAACTTTTAGATGTAAGATAAGATTTTGAGTGTAGAGTGTGAAAGAAAAAAACATACACGTAAGTGTCTGTTTTGTAATTCAACCAATTAGTCCTTGCCTACAACCATACTGCATACAATCATGTTGCCTATGTTGCCTACAACCATGTTGCCTACAACCATACTGCCAGGCTACAACCATACTGCCTACAACTATACTGCCTACAACCATACTGCCTACAACTATACTGCCTACAACCATACTGCCTACAACTGCGCCCTGCCTGTTGCTCCCTGTATAGGCCTACTGCCTGAAACCACCTCATGGTTTTATGGAGTAATCAGGGATTAAATACACTGTATTACAGGTACTTATGGATTTAGTCTCCAAAATTTATTGGTGTAGTTCAGCAGTGGCCATGTTTTTGCGCAATGTGCATTGTGAAGTTGATTGAATGGAAAGAAAAAAATACCAGAGGCATTGTAAAGAATTGTTTCCTTTTTGAAATTCGACGAAACTGAATCCTGCTTCAAACAGCAGGCAAAGGAATTCCCCACTGTGTCACCTGTGTCTACTAGCATCCGATATGCCAAGAATAATTTGAGAAGTGGTCTAACTGTCCCAAAGTAAAACCTGGTAGCAATTGACAGCATTTACTGAAGCAATAAAAACCACCTTTTTCTAAATGTGGAAAAGTTATGGTGGGGGGAAACGACAGTCTTAGCTGAAGTTCACTAGCAAGGGGATTGTCTTTCATTGAGACATTGCAGTGTATTTGTTTGTTTGGGGTTTTTTTCATGCTCTTTGGTTTACTTTTTTTACTTTTTGTTTTGGGAAACGACAGATCCGTCTTGCGGGTAGACAGTTATCGATACTGATTGTGAGGTGGGAACCATCTTACTCCATGAAAAACGGATCTATTTTTGGGCTGCTATAAGTAAAGTATTCATTCAATAGCTAAACGTGGGCCAATTATTTTTCAGACGATGTCTATTTCAAAAGTAAATATAACTTTTGTATTGCTAGAAAAATAGCAATTTTAGTCTTTTTTTCGGGACAAAACTCAAAAGATGCAGCTTAAAAGGATTAAGAGTCTGACAGTTTCTTTAAATATCATCAGATTACTCTGTCGAGCTCACAACATTTTCCTGTTATCCAAGTCTTTTGTGAGAGAAAAAACAGACACTAACAATTGGATGGACCCTGCACTATAGGATTGGAGGCTCAGGGTATGCCCGGAGATTTGTCTCAAGAGAAATACATCAACCATGATTTGCAAAAATTGCCTCACACCTCTTATTCTATGTCTGAATCATGCTACACTCGGGTAGTGTGGAGTTTGTCAGACATAGTCTGGTAAACATGTTTTTCAGTCTGCTTTTTGAAGAGGAGGCAATTTTGAAAAGGGACCTCTTTTGCGAATGGTTCTGAATTTTTATTTCCACTTGAAAGATGAAGAGGTCTTTTTTAAGTTCACAGAGAAAAAAAAATTCCAAGTTTCTGCGGGGAAATTTTTGAAGTACCTTTGAGTACTGAATATTTCTATTTCTGGTTTTGAGGAGTAAATGCAAACAATTGAGGACCTTGGTCCGAAATCTTAACGTGTCATTCCCGAGAGACTGGGAAATTGTGACAGGCGTGTAAGCTGTTTTTAGTCTATCAAAATTAGTGATTGAAGATGAACAGAAAATGTCACTGACCATGCATGCATCAGGATATTATGAGGAGAGGTGGGGATCTGACTGCCCCCTATTGGTCGTTCTTGTCAGCAAATCTGATGGATCTGATGGAGGGAGGACAGCTTATTTTTAATTCAAGCCATGCACAAATGGGCTCTGCATTCGGCATGTACTTTTTCACGAAAAGTTAACCAATCAGATGACATGGAAGGCAGACTCATTCATCAGTGTGTTTAGCAACCAATACAATTTCACTCAGGCTTCTCATGTCTACCCAATCAGTGCCAATTTGCATCTGCCTTTAATTATAGTCCACGTATCAATAGGAAGTGCCAAGGTTGAGCCGGGAAGTTAAGGATTTAGCTGGGAAATTATCACAACTTTCACAGAATCTTAAGTAGAATATTTAAAAACGGGTAAAAATATATAAAAAGGATGGTGTCTGAAAAAAATGTGTTTTGTTCAAGACTTCTACTGTAAATATGGCTAAGAAGGCTGACATTTATCTCTAGTTTCTTTGGCAGTACATGAGTGAGAGTATTTCTATTTCCCCTGGATAGGATGTTATAGTCCCTCAAAGGTTACCCCTAACTAATGCTGGCACCCATTTATACTTCCTGGGTGGAGAGGGACAAATAGGTGTAAAGCAGATTGCCTATGGACACAGTGCATGACCGTCCACTGGATTTGAACCCCTGACCCTCTGATCATGAGTCACAAACCTACATGTGTATCCACTGGGCAACACTCCCAGTGCATGTGACTCTGAAAATCAGTTCAGCTAAATTTAAATTGAAGGAAACATGATAAAATGGCTACACACATCCTCCAAAAAGCAGATGTGTATCAGTGTCAAGGGCGTAGCATCTCTGGGGCACTTCAATTTGTTTACAACTTGGGTATCACACCCCAAGTTATCATACGGATATGAAAGGGTGCAGAGTTTTCTTATCTACAGCGTACGTGTACATGAACAACTTCTTTTAGGGAGAGAAATCTATGTCAAGTTGTCATGGACAGATTTAGGTTGAGGGAGCCCCTCATATAGCCAATGGAATTTTGGAGGCCAAGTTATCATGGCTGCCTGTACTACTTTGGGATGTACACTACCCAATTCCACATGGGGTAGGAGCATAGCCAGTAACTAAGAGTGATTGTGGTCACTTAAAAAAGCAGGTAGAGGAAGGGGTTTGGACCCAACTAGGTTATATTCAAACTTGGATGTAGCCATTTGCAGGCCTTCATAGTCTCCTTTCACATCCTGTTTGCTTTTGCCGTTAAATTTACCCTAAATGCAAATTCTATTAAAAAAAAAGGTTAAATATGGGTTTATGGGGTTCTGTACAGGGAAGATACATGGAGAGGTTTCAAATCTCAAAGCAGCTTTTCTGTGACAAACAAGTCTTTCCACACATGCTTAAATAAGACACAAAAAATCCAAGAATAACACACCGCCCAAAAATCTTGTTCCTTAGACTCCTAGGGAATTGCCCTTTTCACCTTAGAGGTTGGCACCCAACCGAAGTACGTAAAATGTCTTTCCGGAAACTAAAATGTTGTCTTTAGCCACAAATAGAAAGCTTGCGCATTTATATGTCATTAGGGCCCTCAGTATTAGTACGGCTTCGGGTAATGAGTTTAGTACATTGTGATGAGCAACAAAATGGCCAATATCGCCCTGGGTGTGTCTTGGGCAGTAGTCTGTCTGTCTGGGTGGTGTTTTGTTGGCAAGCCCTGCCTCAGTTAAGTGAAAAGAAGCTTTACTTAAAAAAAAACTACATCAGTGTTATTATACGGGGCAGAGCTTTATGACGCAGGCAAAGTGAAAAAAATTTGAGGTTACTAACCTTTTTTTTGGCAGTTATACAGTATTAAGGATAGTACATTCTAGATGTACATAATTTCAACTTGAAGAATTTTACAATGCATCTCAATATTCATGACAAAATACTGTAAGTTATGATGAGTCATTGGGTCATCGTTATAGAATTATGACAGTGTTATCATATTTCTTTTATTTGTACTTGATCAAATTGTTTCCTCTTTTCTATTTCACAGCTTGTAACTGCCACCCTGTGGGATCATCTGGCACGGTCTGCAACCAGACCACAGGCCAGTGTCCCTGCAAAGACGGCGTGACCGGACTAACATGTAACCGGTGCGCCAAGGGCTACCAGCAGAGCCGATCCACTGTTGCACCCTGCATAAGTAAGCTTTTCTTTTTTTGTTCAGTGTGGCCTTTCACTTTTTGGAGTTGCACTGCATGAAAAGCACCAGTTTTTACTAATTTCTAAAGTCATTTTGTTTGCACTCATCTTATTCATTCTAACCACATCAAAACTCCTGTACACATCATTTCTTCATTTTGTATACCATACCCTTAAAACTCTCTCTCGTTGTATGATATGGGAGTGATAACTTTTCAACCAATCCGTTATTGAGTCCTAAAACTTTCAGCCAATCAGACAGCATGTTAGGCAACTGATGAATATTCATAATTCCAGTCTTTATCTTTTATGATTTGTTATCATCTGCAGTAAACATAAATAATTAAGTAATTTTCACAGAAAGTACAATCATATAAGATGGGGGACCATTTCACATTTTTTGTTTGTGAAATGCGGCAGCATTTCATTCATTGCGATTTATTATTTTGTCACACGCCACAGATCACCGCGCAACATTGCAAGATCACTGCGCAATGCATGGCTGCTCATTCAGCAAATATTCTTAATGTTTACATGTATGTCCACCCATCGGATCCCAAACAGTGTTTCACAAAAACAAATTAGGATTCAACATTTTCTTTCCCTCATGAGAGTAAAATGAAATCCAATCGAGAACTTAAATTGAAAATCACAGAAACATGTGCCAAATGGGATACTACAATAAAAAATAAAGTACTCAAAATTGTGCTACATTTTTTATAAAGCTGGCCTTTTTGAATACGTACATGTATTTCTTACAGTCAAGATGATCATTTCCATGATCCATTGACAAATTTTCATCGTGGCCTGTAATGCTTTCGTTGACAGGCCAAATAAGTGAAAAAACTTGCAACACTCCCCCAAAAGAGAGTGATTTAGCTCAACAAGATGATATGAAAAGATAAATGTTGAACCCTGTGAATCACTGTTTTTCCTGGTCCATTTCCCCCATAGCCCTTGCCCAACCCAAACCATGCTGTAGAATTTTAAGACCCCAGTTTTCCCCTTAAAAAGTGTAAAATCATATTCATTTTTACGGTCTTTCTTATTGTTTTACACTTTAGTACGCAGATTGTAGATGGATCAGTGTATTTTATTACTGCAATTTTCGTCATTTTTATATTATTTTTTACTTTGCTTTTGGATTTACAAGCTGTGTGCTCATATTTTTGTTTATTTTGAAATCATCAGCTACTGTTGTGCCAAACCTAGATGGACAGGATCTTGAGTGGGGTCGTACTGGTAATTCTGGGAATATATATTTTTTTATTTTGGCCTTGCTCTTTCCGAGCATGGATGGATATCTTCCAAACAAGAATGAAATTATCTCTTTTCTTTTTCAGTTGCTCAAATTCTGTTAGAGAAATGTAGCTTTATTTCTCCCCTATACTTGCAAGAGATAGAAAAAAAAAATAGCTTTTAGTTAAAATGCTTGGAAGTTGGTATGAAACTTTTGCTTTTTCTTGCTGGTTTGATGTACTCTTCTTCCTTTTGTTGCTTTTGGTGATTTGTTGAAATCAAATTTCTGAAACAGACTGGTTGTTTAGTGGTGCTGTATTGTTAGTGCATCCATATTTTAGTTTATAAAACCCTCTCGTATGTGGTATACACTATGCTTTGTCTCATTAGTTATGCAAACTTAGCTTATAAATACAGTAGGCAAGATAACTTATGGTGTCTTTTCTTATAACCTTCAAAATAATGGTGTACATAGGAGCATAAAGGGAATTTAATCCATAGTTATATTGCTATCCATAGAGTTGATAACTGTTCCCTTAATAAAAGTCGCTCTGCTATACTATGAAGTATGAGATAGTGTGCAGAAGCATGTTGTTTCCATTTTCAAAATGTCCCACTGAGCATTTAAAATAATTTTAAAATAATTTTAATACTCTTTCCACCACCCAATATACTTAACTTCTCAATAGTGCCAAAAATGTATGTTCATGTAACCCTGCATGTTCAGTAGCAAAATCAAAACAACCGCTATATTTTTAACAACAAAATAAAAGTGATGTGGACACTGTTTGTTGAAATAAAAAAGTAGATTATTTTTAGCATTTTAAACCTTTACTATAGAAACGAAGAAATAGAATGTGAACGATTTGGGATTGTTATAATGCATTTTTTTTTATGATGAAAGTAATGGCAAATCAAAATTAACATGCTTATTAATTGACATCGGGATTAATACATTTAACCCAAAATAACAACGCATGGCAAAGCAGTAGTGCAGTGAAGTTAGAAAACTGCTAAATAATCGCAAATAATATTAATGCAAAATTAATGCTGCGGCCCACCTCAAAACATTCGAATGCAATATTAGCCACAGAAACTAAAAAAATATAATTGACAAAGAAATTGACTGGAGCGAGATATGAACCTTGTTCCTCCAGAATACAGTATTGGCATTCTACCAACTAAGCTATTCCTCAAACACATATGACCAGATAGCTCAGTTGATAAAGCACCAGTATGTTAGTTTAGGTTTTGGAGGTTCCAGCAATTTCTTTGCCCAACATAATACTTACTAAATATTTAGCCTAGTTAGTTTCATTTTATGATGAATTTTGATGATGATTAACCATATCAATAAAAAAATACTAAAATTGCGGGTATCAACGTGGTGTATTAATTTTTAAATTGCCTAAAGATCGTAAAAAAGCACCATGAGCCTCTTAGAAAACAAAACAATTCGCAAATGAAACTATTTTCAGAATGTCAGAGTAGAAGATGTTGATCTCCAG